CCCTCCCTCCCTCCAACGGTGCGCCTCAACTTGAACGGGAGGGCTGGCTCAAGCATCGACACGGCTGAGGGGCAACGAGTAAGGGGTCCCGTGCAAGTGAATAGCTGGATGAAGGCATGGTTTCCCTATATTGCAGTGAAGTGGGTATTGACAGAGCTCAATGCTCAAGCTGGTATGATGATGAGCAATTGTGGATCATTTCAGCATGTCCACTATGGTGCACCCTATCCCCTCATCTGCCTTGGTGTCCAGTTGTCAGTCACGGCTTGTGTGTTCAGGATTTAAATCCGCTTATGTGTCACGATTGAACTATTCTCAAACATGGCTATACAGCTGCAAGCCAGCAGGCAAGTTGTCCATTACAAAACAATGACACTTTTGCTGTTGGTGATGTCAGCGGCTGGTCGTCTTTGTGTTGTGCAAGTCAGGCCTGATGACTCACGTTTTACGCCCGTGCACGCTGAGATTCATTAAGATGCAGTAATACATTGCAACTCGCACACACAGCCTTTGATACCGTCGCTTCTGCTGCTGCTGCTGCTGGTGGTGGTGGTGGTGGTGGTAGTGGCGGCTGCGGCACCTGCAGTGGCTGTCAAGTTCAGCTTGCTGCGGACGGCCAATTACTATCATTGCGCATATCGAATCCATTTGTGCATGCTCGCAGGAGCAGTCGGTCCACAATGTATAGGGATAGTGAAAGGCAATTTCCAGTTGATCAGCGTATTGGTGTGGTGTGCATGCCCAGGCAAATGGTGATTGCAGAAGGAAATGCTTGAGGGGCTGAGCCATGAACGACTTCAGTTGCCTGGTGCCACAACCAGCGTGTCAAGAAATCTGGCAGGGCAAGTGGATGTCCGAAATGTGTGATTATTTTGGCTCCCTACGTCGATAGCAGCCAGACCGATAGCAGGCTCCGAGTCATGAGTCATAAGGCAGGTTAGTGTGGTCAGGGGTGTCAGAGGCTCTTACACTGGGCAGTCAAATGTTGACATTGCTGGCGTGACAGCCACAATGACGTGATGCAAGGTCAGGGCGACCCGGGCACTTAAATCAGGGCAGTGACTTCTTCAACGCGCAGTCCAAGGCGGAGTCGCATTGTTGACAGTGAGAGGCTGATGCAAACACTCCTCCTGTGAGCATCATTCCCTGGGAGAGGGCAGCCTGCTGGCAACCAGTTTGCTCTTGTTGTCAGGCAAATTTTTCTTTTTGAGATTGCCTTGTCCCAGATACCACATAGGTTTCATCAGGACATCAATGCATAGCGGCCGGCCCCCTTGGACAGTCAACACGTACGATTATGCAAAGGAGCTTGTCTGGGTTGGCATGCGCGTCCTCCGTACGGTAACCCGGCGCTGCTTTGATCCATGCCAAAGAAACAAGCTCTAAATTTATTCAGCAGCCTCTGTGGCCCAAGTTGAAGCACTGGTTCAGAGAGCGCGGTCCTTTGTTGGTGTTGCCATGCCCATCAATTGTGCAGCAGCAAGCAAACAAATTATGCAGGAATTTGTTTGGTCCCACTCCATCCCTCGCCTGCATAACAAAGGGTGCCAGTCCTGGATTTACACACGTGTTGTATTTGCTGTGTTCAATCTGTTATGACAGCGAAGCTCCAAAGCTTGCGGGATCGGGTCAGTGGCTGTGTTTTTGCGCCTAAGGCCAGGCGGATGCGCAAATCAGTATGCCATGGGCGGCTGCAGAAATCCTTGGGTGGCGGCGCAGCAAGTCCAAGCACACCAACAACAGTAGTGAAGGCCTTGTATATGCGTAGGTAATCGATGCAACAGGCGCGAGGGCATGCCACATGTAAAAAGGACTGCTTGAGAAGCATCGGACATACAAAGCAACTGGGTAGGGGAAGCTTCGTGGTGCTTTCAAGTTTGGGGCACACCGCTGGTAGCGTGTGGTTCTGGTTGCCAACGGTCTACTAGTGAGAAGCAGCACTACCAAGCGTGAGAGTCTGGGGTGCGCTCAGGCGATGCGTCGGGTGGGTGTCGCCCATGCAGGCAAGGCGCACCGCCTGTGATGTGATAAAAAAACGGCCGGTACAGCCTACGGCGCAATGCTTGCGACCTCGATCTCAAGCTCGTGGGGCCCGGCGTCCCAGCGCATGCGGGTCAGCCCAAACCCACGGTGCCGCAGGGCCACCAGCGCGCCGCGGAGGTGTGTCTGCATGGGCATGTAAATGCGGTGCTCCCCGCCGCTGTTGTTCTTGGTCCAGCGCAGCTTGAACTGCGCCATGCTGTTGTTCGCAGGCTCTGCCTGCAGGGCTGACACAGCAGCGAGCGCGGCCTCGTCCCCTGACCTGGCCACCAGACGCACAGCCCGCAGGTACAGCGGCTCATTGTCCAAAGGCAGCAGTTCACGCGGCAGCAGCTCACGCATGACATGCGCCGGCACGTTGAGGGCGGCTGTGCCGTTCTTTCCAAACGAATCGGCGATGTTCCGCGGCTGCCCGCTGTTTTGCAAGATCGGGATCCACCCGTCGCCAGCCTGCTGCAGCAGAGACTCCTGCAGGAGCCATGCGTCCTGCCGGAGCGGTACAGTTGCTGAGCTGGCGAAGACCGCTACGACGGGCGCTCCCGCCGCCGCCGCTGCTGGTGCCGCTGCGGCTGCCGCCGCGACTGCCGCAGCCGCCGCGACCGCCTCAGCCGCCGCCGCAGCCTCCGCTGACGGCGGCGCACGCAGGGCGCTAGCCACGACGAGCTGCAGCTCCAGGCCACCCGAGGTGGCGATACCCCAGCCTGCCCCCGCGATTCCCAGCCCGCGGTCCCGGCATGCGGCAAGCGCCTTGCACAAGGGTCCATCTTTCTGGCCTAGGCTGACAAAGTGGAAGCCTTCGTGTTCCCCGCTTGAGCGAATCATGCTCGGAATGCAAATCGGGCGCCGCTCCAGTCCCTCAATCACAGCGGCGGCGCCGTGGTCGCCCTGCGCCGCGACGAGTCGAACTGCACCGAGCTGCAGATCTCCATCAATTGGCAGCTGCAGGGTTGGGAGCAGGTGCTGAAGGGTGTACTCTGACAGTGGGAGCCAAGTGAGGCCCCCAGCCCCGAGGTGGGCCACTGGCTCGACTGGGCAGTGCCACCAGTCGGGGGTCTGCGGGATGCGGGCCGGCTGCCCTGGCTGCTGGCTGCTGTTTCTGTACGGCTGGGCAATTGCTGCCACCTGTAGGGCGACCCGCGATGACGGTGTGCGCGAGGCACAACGTGACGTTGGCTTGGCTGCCGCTCGCCTCGTAGCTATGGACGTCGGCCGTGGTGGTGCAACGGCTGCAGACCGCATGATGAGGGTATTACCGTACATTCGTATATTTAAAGACTTCTGTGACAGGAAAGAGCGCCTTTTGCGCGGGACGGCTTGATGAATACGCGCTGCCTAGGTCGACCGAAGAATGCCACGAGCCTCTAGCGTTTGTTGTGCATGAAGGTGCTTTTGTGTAAAATATGTCGTCCTTCTGCTGCCCAAAGCACGTTTGAAGGTTCCTTGCCATCCATACAACTGCCGCCTCGACTGCCTCAGGCCAAACGACGAGCACTGTCACGGTCAATGTGATCGTGCGTTGTGGGATGGTGGTGATCTTCTGCAGGGTAGTATTCAGGAGGGCCCATGCAGAGAGGTTTGTTTGACTTATATGTTGACCGCATTTGGCGACCAGCCTCGTGTAATTGCTTGGTATGATAGGAGGCCCTTGGCACACAACATGGCGGGACCCTGCGCTGGCCCCTGCACAGCTTGCCCATCTTCCATACGAAATCTGACGCAGCACCGTGCCTGCCCCCTTTTTCCAAGTAATGCTGAGTTCAATCGCCCTACCTCCTGTGATTGCTGCTGCTGACTACTGAAACCCGGCTATCGACGTTGAAAGGCTGGCCACTTGCATGATAGCAATCCCCTTCAGCATATGTCATTGCGTCCACAGTGTGCCTGACGTCTGAAGGAAGAGCTGGCTCAAGCGCCGACACTGCAAACGGGCAGCAAGGGGCCCCGTTGCAAAATTGGTTTGCAAGATCAAGCGTCAAAATTCCTGAAGAATGTGGTACTGTGGGCATTGCTACAGCGCAATGCTCACACTGGCTTGATACACAGCAACGGGTTTGTCAAGCACGCATGTGGTCTCAGATGCACCCTCTCGCCTCACCCAACCCTGCGTACCCGTGTCAGTGCACGTACGAGAGCTACACCCGCTGATGCGTCAAGTTTCAACAGAATTCAAGCATAGCAATTGAGCTGCAAGCCAGCAGGTCAGGTGTTCAATCAGGCAACGAGAATTTTGTTCTTGGTGATGTCAGCTGCTGGTTGTGTTCTGTTGTGCAAGTAACGACTGATAGCAAGTGTCCCACACAATTGCACGCTGAAAATGATTGACATGCATTTATACATTGCAACTTGCAACCTTTTCTTGATACCTTCGCTGCTGCTGCTGCTGCTGCTGCTGCTGCTGCTGCTGCTGCTGCTGCTGCTGCTGCTGCTGCTGCTGCTGGAGGTGATTGCGGCTGCGGCTGTGGCTGCGGCTGCGGCTGCGGTGCCAGCTGCGGCTGTCAAGTCCAATTCAACGTGGACGGGCACTTACAATGATTGTCACATCAAATTCATTTGTGCAGGCTCACAGGAGCCGTCAGTCCACAAGATTCAGACACACATTGTGTAAGGCAAGTCCCACTTGAACAGCGCATCGGTGTTATGGGCATGCTTGTCCCAAGCACGAGTGGTGATTGCAGCAGGACATGCTTTCTATCGAGTTGCAAGCTGAGCGACTTCAGTGGCCTGGAGCCACAACGTGAGTGTTGCGTCAAGCATTCTGGCGTGGCAATTGGATGCCCAAAAGGTGTGATTAAGTTGGCTCTCCACCCCAATGGCGGCCAGACAGCCGGCTTGTCAGGCAGTGTGGTGTGGTGAGGGGTGCCAGGAGCACTGATGAAGGGCAGGCATGTGAATGTTGACGCCGCCGGTGTGACAGCCGCAATGACGTGATGCAAGGGCAGGGCAACCCGGGGCACTCACACCAGTGCAGTGGCTTCTTCAACTCGCAGGACAAGGCAGAGTCGCATCAACGATAGCGGGAGGTCCGAGAAAAAAACTCCTACTGCGATCAGTCGCTAGCTGGAAGGGGGCAGTCGGGCCACCGCCAGCTTGCTCGTGTTTTTCAGCACCCTTTTTCCACCCCCCACAACCTCCATCAGCCTGCCCTGTTTCAGCTGCCACACAGGGTCCATCAGGACATCAATGCGCAGGTCCTGGTCCCCGTTCAGACCCTCAATCCGAACTATTATGCACAGCACCTTGTCTTGTGGATGAGCGTGCGCGTCCTCCGCGACCTGGAGCTGCTTTGCACCAATGAAAAAGGGCTCCTCGGTCTGTGACCTTGGGCCACGAGAAGCGCGGCAGCCCTTCACGTCGATAAGGCATTTCCACCCCTTGCGGTCCGGGCCGCCCAGCACCCCCTCTCGATCCACAAACTCGAAGTCCCACGGGGCGTTGTGCTTGTCGCGCGACAGCCAGCAGCTGCTGTCAAAGCCGTCCACGTAGCTGCTGAAGAGCTCAAAAGCCAAAACCTCTGCCATTTTGCCACTGATGAGTTTGGGGGTTGTAGCTGGCGAAAAATATATCGTGCCACCACCGCCAGCGCCACCGCCGCCACTGCTGGCAGAGGCGCGGTCACCCACGTCCTCCAAGCCTGCCGTGCTCATGCTGCCGAGGTGGGCACCGCCGTCTGCCGCCGCCGCACCCACCGCTGCACTGCCTGGGACGATCGCCGGGAGCGCCCTGCGCCCCGCCTCCAGACACTGCTCAAACACCTCCTTGCTGATCCCCGCCGCCAGCTGCACCCCGTTGACCAGCCAACGAGGGGGCCCCCATACTCCATCGCCCACATAAACAGCAGTGGCACCCTGCAGCTGCCAGGACGTGGATTTATCTGCGAAAACAGCATGAGAGATGCAGCTTGCAGATGCACTGGGCCTGGCAGGTATGCTTGAGCTAGCATGCATCGGCTCGCACGCATACGAGGGGCAGCGAACCTCGCAGGTGTCTTCAGTATTCAGGGCTGTTGAGTCAGCAGCACGCCCGCTGTTGCTTGAACTGTCTCCTGCTGCAACCAAAACAAGATGTGCGTCCAGCACGCTTTGACCAGCACAAATCAATGCAGCCAATTGTTTGCACGTGCAGAACCAAGCACGTCCGCACCTGGCAGGCCGGCAGCACCAGTGCTGCTGATGACATCACCACCGTTCCTGGCCTTGCCACAACTTACGGCCGGCCGCGGCGCCTGTGCCACAGCCGCCGCCCCCTCCGCCGCAGCCCCCTCCGCCACCGCCCCCTCTGCTGTCGCTGCGAGAGCCGCTGCCGCTGTCGCTGCTGGGGGCGCGGTGCATCCACCTGGTGAGGGCATGCTCACCACCAACAGCTCCAGCACCGGCAGTTCACCATGTGGTGCATCTCCTACAAAGCGCGCGCCAATCAGCCCCAGTGTGCCTCCGCTGTCGCGCATCACCATCAGCGCCGCAGTAAGGTCACGTGCGTAGCGAGGCGCCACCGGCATCCTCCACTGCTCGCTGCTCCACTCAAACTTCACCTTGAGGTTCTCGGCGCTGGGCGGCTGCGGCAAGCTGCGGAGCACGAGCTCCGCTGCAGCGTCACCCTCAGCCGCCACAAGCCGTGCTGCTGCAGGGTTGAATGGTGGCGGTCGCTCATCTTGCGGCAGCTGCTGGCCCCTGCTGGCCAACAGGCCCTCCAGCATTTTGGTTGGGAGCTTCAGGAGGGGAGGATTGTTGTTCCGAGCAAATCCTGGTGGTATTTGCCGCGGCTCAACTCTGACTGGATCAAACGGAATCCAGTCAACCTTGTGCTGCTCCCGCTGCCCCTGCTGCTGCCACTGCTGCTGCCGCTGCTGCTGCCACTGCTGCTGCCACTGCTGCTGCTGCTGCTGCTGCTGCTGCTGCTGCTGCTGCTGCTGCTGCTGCTGCTGCTGCTGCTGCTGCCGCTGCCGCTGCTGCTGCCGCTGTCGCTCCTGCTGTTGCTGCTCCTGCTGCTGCCCTGACACCTGAACATAAGGCACCCCTAGCCGAGTCCCAGGAATCAAAAGGCCGGCCGCGTCAGCAACGTTGCCTGCCGTTGACAAACCTCGCCGGCTGACTGTTGAACAGTCCGCTGCAGCCGCGCTTGACGCTGCTAGCGCCAACGACGGGTGTGTGCTGCGCACCTCCACCTGCAGCTCGGGGCTGCCCCCGGCGCAGCTGACGCGGGCAACGTCGAGCCCGGCGCGCCGGCAGGCGTTAAGTGCCTGGGACAGGGCAGAATTGCCTGCGTCTATAATGTAATAGCTGTCGCTGCGCGGCTCGTACTGCAGGGAACAGCCGTTGCTGACAGGCGGGCGCTCGGCCTGGAGCTCCAGGCCGGCCAGCACTCCGGCCGCATAGCCGTCTCCGCTCACGGCGACAAGGCGCGTCGATCCAAGGGGCAGCTTGCCAACAGGTTGAGCCAACATCGGGCACAGGCCCCCCCAGGTGGCCGAAGGCAGCTCGAGCAGGATGACGTCAGCGCCTCCACCAAGGTGTGCTGGGATCGGCCACGTGCCGCCGCCATCTGGGGACAGGGGCACGAAGACTGACTGCTGTGGCTGCTGATTGTTATTTGCTGGATCATAGCAGCCGGCTGCCACCTGACGGAGCGGGCGTCGAGGCGATGGCGACGGCGATGTGAAAGCCCACCTCGTCGCACACGCCAACTGGGCCCGGGCCGTGCCCCGCAGCGCAGCCCTCGTCGCTGGACGATGGTTTAGGACTGTCGCAGGGCGCAGACTGAGGCTGTTCCTGTGCATAATGAGCAGTTTTATGCGTGCTGGTGTGCCTTTCACGTGCACACGAGCTCGATTCCGGCTGCCTACGAATCGGCGAGCTTACTGCCTCGAATACGTGACAGCTTCAAAGAAAGAAGAGCTCCATCATTTTGAATATCCTCGTCAAGGCGCGTGGCGTGGAGAGGCTTATGGCAACCCCCATGTCGGCGCTGCGGGTGTTGAACTTGCCTCGGGGGTCGAACAAGGAGTGACTGGTCAGGCGCAAACGTCTGTGATACCCCAGTTCTTTCTAGCCATTAAAAGATCCACTGCCACTCATTGCGCGACCAGCTGCTGTTCTTTGCCAGAAGTGTCCAAATGGACCGCTGCGCTCCCACCTTGGCAGGCGTAATCCCAGGCTCAGATGTGGTTGCAGCCAGCATGACCAGAGCTCAGGCCACCCCGCAAAGGGCACCTGTCTGGAAATCTGCCACCCACGGACTCTTGCATTTCACTGCAATTGGTTACTGTCATCTGCTGCTGCTGAGTCATGGCTTTCGCGCCAGGGTGCTGCCTCCTCAGGCTGCTGGTGATCAACCTGCTGACTGGGGCCCTTGGACCCAGCCAGCTCAGCAGACCCCACCGCCAGTGGTCAGCAAGGGCACCACCTCCAGTGTTACTTTTTGTTACCACTCCAACTATGCTCAGCAAGCCGCCTCGCTCGCTCATACTCACAAGAACGCAGGTGCGAAATCACCGTTTGAGGTGCACGGTTGCCAGGCGCTGGCATCGCAAGCGGGGGCTCACGCAGCATGCCGTTGTTTTGCTGCCCCTCGTCTGAGGGCGCTCAACTGCATCAGCAAATCGAACATCAAAGATGTGCATCTATGTTTCATGTCGTGTCTGCAGCTGCACGCGGCCTACGAAACACCAAAAGGTCCCAGCCGTGTTGCACAACAGCAGAGCGCTCGCAGCTATCAGAGGGCCGTCAGCGCCGTCTGCTCCCCTGCAGCATGCTGATATGTTATGCTGCTGAGGTGGCGCCCCCTCGAAAAACACATGCAGTGCGTGAAGATGGTGATGCCGGCCGCTGCAGGTGCCGGCCGCCCATGCCTCAGGGGGTGTGGTGTGATGTGGTGCAGGGGGTGCGGTGGAGTGTGCCCCCGGGAGCGTTGCGGTGCCAGACTCAAAAAGCGCACGTGTGAGGTGTGGTTTTCGTTTCTCTGCGTCATCAGATACATCAGGCACACCAAACATCGCACCCATGGATACGGCCTGCTCATCGCAACCAGCAGGGAGGGAGGAAGTGAGGTGCGGCTCGACAGCGGCCAAGAGTTGTGCCGCACACGCAACCGTCAAGAGGCTCTCACAGATTGGATCAACAGATTTTATGGGATGTGCGGGAGGGGCGCCCCTCGACCTCGGGCCCGTGTCCAGAGCGGCGAGCGTCCGCAAGGCGCAAAAACCGCCGCGTGACTCAACGCGCTGCGCTTGTCGGTCAAAACTGTGTGCGGCCGGGCCTGGGCCCAGCCTCGCGCGAGACATGCACGGGGCTGCAGCCGCGCGCTGCCCAGCGGCCCCTGCAGAAGCGCAGGCCGCCGCGCCTCTGCCCGTCAAGCCAGGCAGCCCAGGCACGCGTTGACAACGGCTCCAGAGGTGCACAGTCGGCCTGCCCAGGGTTTGCGCCGGGTCCTTGTAAGGGGCTGGGGCCCCATGGCTGGCTGCACGAAGGCTGCTGAACTGCAAGCGCCGAAGCTCCCCACCCGCGAAGCGTCGCGGCGCCTCGCCCGGGTCAACCGGGGCGCGTCAGTTGAAGGGGTCGAGGCGCGGGTCGTGCTCCGTGGCCATGGTCTTGCCCGTGCAGAGGCAGCCGGTGCACATAACCTTGGATGTGCCCGCGCAGAACGCGCAGGGCCCGAGGGTGGCGGGGTCCACGCCGCTGCCGACGCAGTGGCCGCAGGGCAGGTAGCCGCTGCCCTGGCAGTAGTGGCACCTGCGGTATAAAGCGGCGAGGGAGCGCGGGGGCGGCGATGCGGGGTGGGAATAGATGCGGGCCTGGACCATGCTGTGCGGCTCAGGGCCCCAAACGCAACACCACAACCGCCCTTCCGTGCACTGAGAGCGAATTTGACAGCACCTGCTTGGCGTAGTGCTACGCCAAGGCCGGCCACTTGGTTCCTCCCCTGCCATCATCCCAGTCAGTCCCAATGTCCTTGCAATCTGCTCCACACACACGGGATGACAGCCTAGTGCTCACACCCTCACAGACACGCACTCCCAACCCCTCTGGCCCCAGCTGTCGTGCTGCTGCAGCTCCACGTTCCCCCCCCCCCCCCTCCATCCCTGCGCCCCCCCCTGTTGTGCTGCCGCCGCTCACCGTTCCCCCACCC